TCTTCAACTGCTAAGCACAAAAATCATCTTTATTTGGTCCTCATTGAGGGCAGAATATGCACAAATGATGTTCAAAGAACACAAAAGGTGAAAGTGGAAAAAAATATAGTTACTGTTTCTTGGTCTATGAACTAGTGGAATGATGGTTTTTAGTGTTTTTCTCCTTGTGTCTCTGTGCCAAATGGATTCATGAAAAACTTACTTTATAAATAAAACTGAAGTGAAGATATTTGTTGGTCCTCATTGAGGGCAGAATATGCACAAATGATGTTCAAAGAACACAAAAGGTGAAAGTGGAAAAAAATATAGTTACTGTTTCTTGGTCTATGAACTAGTGGAATGATGGTTTTTAGTGTTTTTCTCCTTGTGTCTCTGTGCCAAATGGATTCATGAAAAACTTACTTTATAAATAAAACTGAAGTGAAGATATTTGTTCCGCCTTCCCAGTACCTTCAGAAATGACTAAATATATATATTGTTTCTGTATAGCAAGAAATTTAAGCTTGGAAACCGGATCTCTTTGCAATTCCTCATAATGGAGAATCTCCTCTTTTCAACACCTCCCATAATATGTTGATTGCTACTTGTCTTATTTTGAAATAAAATGGGAGTCCTCCTTTGGCTTTAATAGAGAGGGAGGAAAATTAGCTGTACCTCAGAAATAGGCATAAGTGGGAGGAACAAAGGAGAATGTTTTCAGAGAAAGCTTTGAATCCATACTCAACACTTTTCTACTGATAGCATCAAGGGACTAACTTGTTCAGACCAGAAGACAATTTGCTGGTGAGGGAGGCTTTCTTCCACATTTCTGTGACTCACATATTTGGGAGGGGACAATGTGAAAGCAAAAACTTTCTCCTATTTAAATGGAGAACCTGAGACCTGGAGATGGCCCCTGGGTGATTCATAATATCTTCAGTAGGATGGTTTTTCTGTGATGTAGCTCATGGTCATTATTCTAAGAAGCCACAGCCTCCTGAGAACTGTCTGAACAGCAATTCTCTGACTATTGGCTGGTCTCATATTGTTATTTAAAAAGCACATGCCATGCCCACCAGGCTGTGAAGATACCACCCATCACCATGACTCCTGTGGGATCACACAAGTCAATCAAAGAGACTCAGTGGGGCTTGATGACTTGGACCACTGCAGCCTGCACTTGGGATGTATTGTAAGCAGCATTACCAAAGCAGTGGTTAAACTTAACTATCTGGGCCAAGAGGAGGTGAGCCAGCCAGCATAACATACTAATGGGGCAGGGCGACCAGAATTTCCACATAATTGATGGGGAAGAAACCTGACTGGCCATGAAGCATCCCCTCATACCAGTTCTCATCAATCTGGTTAGTGAGTGTGATGACATCACCCTCTTTAAAACCCAACTCCCCTTCATTTTCAGGTTCAAAGTCGTACAGAGCTCGGCAACAGGGCTGATCCATAGGGGCACCTGGGAGTCAGAGCAGGAGAGAAGAATAAAGAAAGACAAGGGGAATTTAACTTATGTATCTACTGCCTGCTGCACCCACTTGCTGTCCCCCGGTTCCTGTCTCACATCTTGTCTTGCAGCTTCCTGTTGCCATGAGTCCCCAGTGTCTACTACATGATCTTTCCCCTCATTAGCCTTCAGAAGCTTTCTCAGATTTCTGGAAGTTGCTGGATTCCTATTTCCATTTCCAGTGTGAAAAATGGCCATATCTATTCTTGTGATATGTACAACAGAAGTTATCAAGGCTTGCATTCCTAACAGTACCCAGTGATGGGAGACCCAACAACTTAAGGAGTTTTAATGAGATTTAGGTTCATAATCCAGCATGGCCAGAATTCTTTCCATGTTAGCACTTTAAAATCTCTGCACATGTGAAATAGTACCATTAATGACATAGAAAATGCTTTGCAGCCTCAGAATGAGAATAACAGTGCAGTTCTCACTTTTTAAAAATAAATACTCCAACCTCTGGAAAACTGCTATACTGTGCTACAAACACAACAATATAAAACCTTGGGTTCAAGTTCTAACTCTGTGTGACCTGACACAAGGCACTTCACTCTGTTTCTTTGTCTAACAACTCACTTCACAGTACTATTGTATTCATTTAACGAGATTATGTAAAATATATATACATATAATTCATACTTTGTAAACTGTTGCATATATAAACATGAGGAATGCATCAGAGCTATGGCATATAAAAAATGTATTCTATGTTGAATAAAATAATGAAGGATGGATTCTATCTTTAAAGGGATCTATGTAAAATGACCAAATATATTAATATAGCATATATACTCCTACTCATAGAAACTCAGACAAGTGTATACAGCTCCCATGCCATCAACATGGCTTTGAAGGGTAACAATGTAATGTATTTTCTTACTTAAAGCAGAAAGAAGAATGAAATATGGGTTCGTTTATGAGCAGGAAGAAGAAAGTAATACATAACTCATATGACTAGTCCTTATTGCCTGCCAACTTCTAAGAGCCACTGCTATTTATACCCCACACTGGGCTGTGGGCAGTAGAGGTGAACACAAAGGCAGAAAGCTCCAACTGTCATCACAGACCTCATTTTTTCCTGTGTAGTCTCCTGGAAACATCTCATAAAAAAGTATCCTGAAGATGAACATCAACCACTGGAGATACAGAGAAAATAGGAGAAAGCTGCGTATCTTTAAAATGCATATCCAGTATGAGATAGTTTCCACTTCTTCAACCAAGCAAATGCTAAGGCTGAAAATATCTCAAGCACTAGCTTTTGTCTAAATTTTGTGTATGGGGTAGGAAGCAGTGGTGCCAACTAAAAGAATACGTATTGGGTATATATCAATATACCTGACAGAAAGTAAATTTCAGCTGTAACTGAATCAGCCTCAGTAACCATGACATGATTAAGTGGAGGGAGGGTAGGGGGGAGTAGAAAAATCTAGCAGATGTTGAGATTCAAAATATATTCATCTGCAAATTCACCCATATGCTCTTGTTGACTCAAAAAATTCAGCTCAACCCATTCCTGGAGCTGCTGCCTATGGGTTCCATGTAAGTATGCAGGCATACACTGCCCAGGGCCCTCACTCCCACGTGTGCTGGAACCACAGAAGGGGAAAAACAGAAAGATGCCACCCCAGCACCAAACTGACAAGGTGATTTTATGACCACAAAGGAGGGTCGAAATCAAATATATAAGTTAGGAGGTTACGAGTGTGTTGATGATGGAAAGTGAGAGAAAAGGGGACAAGGGACAAGTTTTATAGAATAGAGAAGAGAGAAAAAGAGGAAAAGAAATGATCAATGAGAAAAGAAGGAAGAGTCTTTTAAAAGAGTTTCTAACTGACAAAACCTGTAAAAAATATATTACTGTATATTTCTGATGCAGCCAGATTGGATTACTCCTAGAATTTCTGGAAAAGTGTCAACAGGATGTGCCCAAGGCCAATGGGAAGGGGTCTGCAGGTCTCAGCTCCTTACCTGCAGGTTTGGGAGTGCCTGTGTGAGAGAGGCCTCCATTGGGCTGAGTGCTGTCACCAGTTGGAAACTCCAAGCTCATTCGTGGTTTAGGCTGATATTCCCTTCTAGGTTGAGATGAAGCTTGTCTTATTCTGTGTTGAAAAGAAAAAGAAGAGAAAAGAGAGTAAGTCAATTAAGAAGCAAAAGGAAAAGCAATAAAATCCAGGAAATGCTTAGGTCACCCACCAATCTACCACTGTGGAGCAGAGGAAATCTGAAAAGGACGCTTAGCCTTCTTATGTGTTTATGCCTCTGCTTTTGTTGATGTCTCTCTATGGTCATATCCTCCCCGTCTTCATCCTTTTCTCATCCCTCGCACCCTTCCTCACTCATTCTAAGTACATTTTGCATTGTGTCAGGAACACAAAAATAAATCAGGTACACCCACTGACACCAATGGACAGATCTTCCAGGCAAAGAATCAACAAGAAACAATGGGCTTAACAGATACACTAGAACAGATGGATTTAATAGATATTTTCAGAGCATTTTACTCCAAAGCAGCAAAATATACATTCTTCTCAAGTGCACATGGAACATTTTCAAGGACAGACCACATATTAGGACACAAATCAAGTCTCAATAAATTTAAGAAGACTGAATCATATCGACTGTCTTCTCTGATCACAATGGTATGAAATTAGATATCAACTACAAGAAAAAAAACTGGAAAATACACAAACACATGAAGGGTAAATAACATGCTACTGACAATGAATGGGTTATTAATGAGATCAAAGAAGAAATCAAAAGATACCCAGAAACAAATGAAAATAAAAACACAACGACTCAAAATCTATGGGACTCAGCAAAAGCAGTCCTAAGAGGGAAATTCATAGCAATACAGGCCTGTCTCAAGAAACAAGAAAAAGCTCAAATAAATAATCTAACCTTACAATTAAAAGAACTAGAAAATGCACAGCAAACAAAGCACAAAGTGAAGAGAAAGAAGGAAATAATAAAGATCAGAGTGAAAAAAGAAATGAAATAGAGTCTAGAAAAACAATACAAAAGATTAATGAAACCTGGTTCTTTGAAAGGATAAACAAAATTGACCAGACTCTTAGCCAGACTCGTCAAAGAAAAAAGACTCAAATAAATAAAATCAAAATGAAAGTGGAAAAATAAACATGGACTCCACAGAAATACAATGGATCACAAGAAAATCCTATAAGCAATTATATGCCAATAGATTGGACAATCTGGAAGAAATGAACACATTCCTAGAAACATACAATCTCCCAAGACTGAGTCAAGAAGAAACAGATAATCTGAACTGACTGATTACCACCAATGAAATAGAATCAATAATCAAAAACCTCCCAAAAAACAAAAGTCCTGGACCAGATGGCTTCATAGAATTTTACCAAACATTCAAAGAATTATCACCTATTCTTCTCAAACTATTCCACAAAATTTAAGAAGAGGGAACGCTCCCTAACTCCTTTTATGAGGCCACCATTACTTTGATTCCAAAACCAAAAACATTACAAAGAAAGAAAACCATAGGCTGATACCTCTTATGAACACTGATGCAAAAATCTTCAATAAAA